TTTTTTTATTACTCTTAAGCAATTAGTATAACTTACTTTAAGTTGCATTGGATGGATTTCATAAGGTAAGTGAACATTGTTCATAGTTTGCAGACCCAATTGTTGCGGTTGATTCTGTTGTGGTACACTCAGTTTAGTAATGGGATATTTCCATTTTTCTGGATTCTATAAATCATTTAAACTTGCAATCAAATAAAAGTAGCAAATATGTCATTTATCTATGAAACTATCTTTTAGAGTATTAAAGTACAAATTTCTTTTTACTTTTGCAACAAAGTATATAGCATATTCTGATTCTAAAGATGTTTTATTTACTTACATTATCAATAATAGCATCATCTGCAAGAGCCCAGGCACGTGGTGCCTGTTTCGTTTGGAAAGTCGAAGACTGAGCATTAAACTCTGCTTCTGTAGGACGTTGAAATACATAACCCACCATAGCATCATCTTGAGTTCTATTCACACCAATTTGATGTGTTTGACCAGGTTGTATGCGCATACTGTCACCACCAGCCATTACTTGTCCACATTGTTCTGTATCCTATTAACAAATATTTATTTCATTACTTTAAAACTTGTTTATTAATGTGTGTGTGTGTGTGTGTGTGTTAAATAACTATTAACTTTTAATACAAAAATCCATATCTAAATCAACACATTTGAATAGATACAAACTTAAAATAAAAAATTATAATTATATCATTGTTTAGCTTATACGCAAATAAAGATTGTTTTGCTACATTTATTGAAGTTTTCATTATGAAATTATCGAGAATGCCACAACTGTTCAATCACTCATTATATCAGAATATTTCTAAACTTGTATGCATTAATATTTTATACGTACATTATTAAAAAATTAATAGAGACATAAAAATAAATTGTTTTTTTATATCAAACTTTTTTGTATCAACATTAAAATTAGCAAGATCACTTCTGTTTTGTTGGAGTAAGCAAGTTGATGAATGTAACTAAAACATCTTTATTTCTATATAATATTCTGCCATAATTAAACAAAGCACAAGAATATACACTCATGTATGAACAATGAAAATGACTATTTCCTCATGTTTCAGCGAATAGAACCTTTCATATTAGACAACGATATAACAAATGAAATTGGAAGATATCCAATAGTAAATTCCTACATTAATGTGCGAAATATGATATTTTAGTTACAAGATACATGAAATGATAGGTTATGACATTACGATCGCGAGTAAAATATTGTCTTGTATTATTTTGCACGGTATGCTAATTGTGAGATAGGAAACTACAAAAAAAAAGAAAAAAAAAATTGGAGCAAAATGCATACCGTGGGTATATGTCCATTCGCGGAAGGATGGTGCAATTGCATAGAAGGTGCCGGTTCACCCGCAGCACCAGCGCTACTCGCACCGAGCCACTTCATCGTTCTGTCAATCTGCACCACTGCTTCAAGCCCGATAAACAATGATTAAACAAATAAGAGATACCCTCGCCGTGAAGGTTAGCTCGCACAGAACCGGCGTCTGGAGCTAAAGGTAGAATCACTCGCTATGTATGTTCTGCGAGCATGTTCTACGCGTGATTCTCAACAATGTAACATCTCCATTGTTCCCACGGCGACGAGAACGACAACGATAAGAAGAATAATCACCAAATAGAATCGTATTTACGAATGCTGCGATTGAACGCCAGATAGTACAGCAATGGCAGCTGGAACACAGCGGTGCTGCCGGAATTTTGACAACACTGCCGGACACGGAAAACGACAGAATACACAAAGAGAATTGTCGAACTTGTGGATGCAATGAATTCTACACGGCTTCTCAAGTTTTAGCAAACGACACAACCGCTTCTGCGACGGGCGAACGAAACTGAGGAGATGCCGAGGAAAAAAAAGTGAAACATGCAAAAAACGACAACTGCTTGTCCATCAACGGACGAGAGGGAATTAGGGGTAGGAAAGCAGAGAGGGAGAAGAATCAAAAGAATTCACAAAAATTAGACTCCTTGTCGTTGTCGTTAATGTGGACAAGTTCCTTTTTACCTGGAACGACACTAGGTACGGTAATGGAGGTACTACTTTCCTCGATTTATATTGCAGAGCTTTGTTTCAATTACTAAATTGACTATAGCCGAAATCAATTAACAAACATCGTTCATTTCGGTATATTGTTTGATCTTTTCGCGGTTGCTGTGTACACTCCGATTTTTCACACACTCATTCCGTAAAACTAAAGCTTAAAATACACTATTCACAGATATGTACATTGAAGTACAGACACACGATGTGCGTCCACCGGCGTACGCGTGTTTCGCGCGCAAGGATGCTGCGCGATTTTCGGAAGGGATTTAGCAGGCAGGAGGAAAGAAAGAGGGGGAGAGGGAGGATAGAGAACCAACCCGCGTTTAGAAATACCGCGACACGATACCAAACCAATACGTTATTTCTGTCAATTTCATGCTTTTCCCGTTCGCGACTCTCGGACTTGATTTTTCGACTTTCACTTCGGCAATCAATCCGTCAACAACACTGAAAACAATGTTTAAATGAAAGTCTGTAGACTTTATTCGGCGTTAATCGTCCGTTTTACATTTGCACAATTTTGCTGTACTTAAAAGTGTCAAGATTCTAGGTTATACGACAACGTCGTGCATGGGACAAATAGATAGCGATGTTTCATGCTAGGCTCAAACGTGGCATCCTTACCGCCATCTAATACAAAAGTTATGTTTTAAAATTAATTGTTTGTACTTGCGATATCTTATTATGTCATCAATTTCTTATTAATCAATTAATCATCTACTTTTGGAAGATAATTTGAAAATATACGTGTAATGCGTGTCGATGAAATGTACGATATTGGCTGATTTATTAAACAAACAAACAATCGCGGCGTTAGTCTTATTCGTTAAAATCGTATTTGGACACTGTAAAACCAATGTGATTATTGGTTAGAGTACTTGACTCTATTTCAGTGCAAACTCCTCATAATATGCATAAGAATTATAACTCACGCTTGCCTGTGCTTACCACTTGCCAAACGAAAGTGTTTAGTGACTGTAATTGTACGTGAAAATAAACTCGACAATTTGATATAAAGAATTTCTTTCTATGATTACGTTGACAATGACGAATATTTTTTACCTCATGCTTGACATATTTTTGTAAAGATGCTTTGAAGCATGCGGTAAGATTGACTTTTTTATTTAATTCATGGCATATATAAAA